GACCTCTCACCCTCTCCCTCCCTCAATTTAACGGCTCAAATCACATCAATATAATTTTATTTTATTATTTTTTTCCAAAACTTGATAGCATTACCTTTTTGGGGGTACGAATTGGTCCCACTCGTATTTTTTTATTTGTTGTTGTTGTTTAGATCTGCTTTTTTCAAAGATTCTCTATTGTATTTTTTCGAAAAGGTGCGACATCAAATTCAAGTTATACATTTTTGTAAGTTATCTTTTGCTGTGGTTGGTTCCTCTTCAGTCTTCACTACTGTGTCAATTGGTATGGGTTGGAAGAACGAGAATATAATTTACTAATAAATAAAATAATAATCATAAGTTAATTTAAGGGTCAGTTAAGTTGATAGTATAATTTCGATATGATAATAATAATGAAAGAATGTTACTTAATTTTTTTTCATAAATTTTAGCAAAAAAATAATAATTTTATTATCTCTAACATATATAATCAATGTTAACGGTTAGTTAAACATATATTGTGTACACTTCAAATCATTTGAAAGTTTGTTTAGCGAGATAAATAAGTTAAAACCTTTTATATAAAATAAAGATTCATGATTGTGTACACTTCAAATCATTTGAAATTAGTTATGATAAATTTCATTTTTAAAAATATACTATGACTTATCATCGAATAAAATAACATATTGGTTATTTGAATCACAACGGAAAAATATGTCATTTACAAAAATAATATACAATCAATTTTCACTTGTTTACGATTTTACTAAGTATTGTGTATTTGTAAATAAATGTCAAAAATTGACAATCTAATTCTAATACATATATTGATGGTGTGACACTGTGACTCGTAAAATATTAAAAGAAAAAAAAAGATAAAATAAGAGAAAACTGATATAAAAACAAAAACCAGAAGAATTTTGATTGTGCTACAAAAAAAGTAGTGAAGAACCAAAAACTTGTTCTAAAAAAAGTAGTGAGATGTTTTCTACTTTTATTTCTCTTTTTGAAGAAATTGAGAAGACAAAAAAACTTGGTCTGTTTTTTTTACTTGACTGATTAACTTTAAATAAAAAAAGTAATTATTTTTCATTAATTTTCTTTTATAAATCACTATGAGTCACATCCATACCCTTAATTCAATTAGAGTGAGAAATCACCAAAATATAAATATGTCATATTGAAATGCTACTACCTTTATATAAATAGAAGAGAAACATAGGTGAATCTAAATTCAGATTGTGCTCTAGTCTACAGTAACCATTTTTTTTTTTTTAAGTTTTTACTTCAAATCTATTTTAAGAATCTAATTACTTTTTTAAGAAAGGAATCTATTGTTGATTAATTCAAACTAATAGTCATTAAGATTCCAGAGATTCCAATTTAGAAAAGTCAAAGATTCAAAGAACAAGTCCAGGTCCACATGTTGAATCCGATTCATCATCCACTCATCCTTCATATCTTCCTCCACCGTCTCCGCCCGTTAAAACAAAAATCTTTTAATTATTACAAAATATAATTTTTACATTTTCCGATTTAAAATAAACTTTATCATATATTATATTAATTAAATAGTTATCCGATGACTCATCCTATGGTCAGGGCCTTGCTGTCTCTGACGTCCTTAATTATCATTATTTTTGAATTTGTTTCTCTCAGAAAATTACGGCACAATCTTCTTCATACCTTTTTCAGAAAACAGCTAATATTTGTGGACCTAAAACAAATAACGTAGCCTCTAGATTTTATAATTGTGTATTCAATTAATTTTGAATTACGTTTTACTCCTTTACGTGTAGAAAATACTAATACTATATACTCCTTTAAGATTATGGTATTTTAAGATTCTCCTTTGAATTTAAATGAAAGTAAATCATCAAATCAGTCGTAGTAACTCGTAAGAATAACCTTAATTAAGATCAATTTTGACTTTCTTTACAAAGATTCCAGTGTAATTTTAGATATATATATTTTTTGTCACTGTTTTTTTTTAGATTAATATATCTGCATCAATCCGATTAAGAAGTGTACACATAGGCATCTATATATATCGGACAGGTAAAACGTGTATGTATATGCATAAGGTTTTACGTGCTTCTATAAATATATGTGGCAGTAACATAGAAGAAAAATCACATAACAAAGCGTTTAGAAAAAAAAAACAAGAGAAGAGAAAAAAAACAGCGATAAAACCGAAACATCAAACAAAAAAAAAAGAGAAGAGAAATCATTTTTTGTTTTCGTTTTCAAAACCAAAATCTTTGAATTTTATGGCAACCCGTCTTCTCCGAACAAACTTTATCCGACGATCTTACCGTTTACCCGCTTTTAGCCCGGTGGGTCCTCCCACCGTGACTGCTTCCACCGCCGTCGTCCCGGAGATTCTCTCCTTTGGACAACAAGCACCGGAACCACCTCTCCACCACCCAAAACCAACCGAAGAAACTCACGATGTTCTCGATCTCTCCGATCAAGCTCGTCTTTTCTCCTCTGTCCCAACCTCTGATCTCCTCCGTTCCACCGCCGTGTTGCATGCGGCGGCGATAGGTCCTATGGTCGATCTAGGAACGTGGGTCATGAGCTCTAAACTTATGGACGCCGCCGTGACGCGTGGCATGGTTTTAGGGCTTGTGAAAGGTACGTTTTATGACCATTTTTGCGCCGGTGAAGATGCCGACGCAGCCGCTGAGCGCGTGAGAAGCGTTTATGAAGCTACGGGTCTTAAAGGGATGCTTGTCTATGGCGTCGAACACGCCGATGATGCTGCATCTTGTGATGATAACATGCAACAATTTATTCGAACCATTGAAGCTGCCAAATCTTTACCAACATCTCACGTAAGTTGTCTAAATTCCAAATTCCTCTGTTTTTCTTCTTTGCTCTGTTTTTCTCTTTTTCATTTAATTTTCTTATATTAATCGTATCAGAAGAGACAAAAGAAAAAATCTTTGAATTTAATTAATTAAGTCATAATCGTTTTCTCTTAAAATGAATTATTTGATAATGGGAAACGTAATTATCAAATTTAGGCAACTTGTTTGGTTCGACAGCCAAATCTCCGTACTCTGACAAAGTACACTTGCATAGATATGTACATTTATATCTATGTATATTCATATTAAATTGGTTAAATTACTCTTACGCGTTTTACAAGTTGTATTTTCCTAATGTTTCTCTTATGAAAATGACTTTGCGTCTAATTTTATTTACATTTTTTCTTTCTAATTAATTTATTTTGCTTTTTTAAATTCGATTTTTGAATTTTATTCATGCGGTGATAAAGCGTCATTGTCGGATTAGATTAACACGCACGAGTATAGCTGGTCTAGACATTTCGGAAGAAAACACTTTAGGAATATTCTCCGGTTACTAAAATCCCGGTTTATTGTTGTAAAGAACCGGCTTGTTCCGGTTAATCTATTATCTTTGGTTTTATAATAACCGGTTATTTGTTTCCTTGTCCTAACAGTTTAGCTCAGTGGTCGTGAAGATAACTGCCATTTGTCCAATTAGTCTTCTGAAACGAGTGAGTGATCTGCTTCGGTGGGAATACAAGAGTCCGAACTTCAAGCTCTCGTGGAAGCTCAAATCGTTTCCGGTTTTCTCCGATTCGAGTCCTCTCTACCACACAAACTCAGAACCGGAACCCTTAACCGCAGAAGAAGAACGGGAGCTTGAAGCAGCTCATGGAAGGATTCAAGAAATCTGTAGGAAATGCCAAGAGTCCAATGTACCTTTGCTTATCGATGCGGAAGACACAATCCTCCAACCCGCGATCGATTACATGGCTTATTCATCGGCGATTATGTTCAATGCGGACAAAGACCGACCGATTGTTTACAACACTATTCAGGCGTACTTGAGAGATGCCGGTGAGAGATTGCATTTGGCTGTACAAAATGCCGAGAAAGAGAATGTTCCTATGGGGTTCAAGTTGGTGAGAGGGGCTTACATGTCTAGCGAAGCTAGATTGGCTGATTCCTTGGGTTGCAAGTCACCGGTCCACGACACAATTCAGGACACGCACTCTTGTTACAACGACTGTATGACCTTCCTGATGGAGAAAGCCTCAAACGGATCAGGTTTTGGCGTCGTTCTTGCAACACATAACGCTGATTCTGGTACGCCATTTAGTCGCATTGTAAACACGGGTTTTTATCGCTTCGGTTAGACTGAAATGGATTTACTAATTGTAGAAATGTCTTATTTTCAGGGAGACTTGCGTCAAGGAAAGCGAGTGACCTCGGGATCGATAAACAGAACGGGAAGATAGAGTTTGCACAACTATATGGTATGTCAGATGCATTGTCCTTCGGTTTAAAGAGAGCCGGGTTCAATGTTAGCAAGTACATGCCGTTTGGACCCGTCGCAACCGCTATACCGTATCTTCTCCGACGCGCTTATGAGAACCGGGGAATGATGGCCACCGGAGCCCATGACCGCCAACTCATGAGGTAATTAACGCCATGATTAGTTCTTTAATCATATTGTCTAGTTAGTATATTTTGGATTTAGTTACCAATGTTGGTATTGGTTATTGCAGGATGGAACTTAAGAGGAGATTAATCGCCGGAATTGCGTAAAGAGAAGCGTTTAATTGTCATAATGTATGGAGCCATTAAAAGAAATTGGGAAATGTAGATGAATAAATTTCTTCTATGTAGATTAAGAAATTGAAAACACAAAAAAATTATAATATAAGAAATGGAGTAGGTAAGAATATTTCATGTGGCTTAATATTTTTCATGACGGACTATGTTTTTATTATCAATATATCATTCACAAATGTATATTCATCCTTCCTATCAATAATAATGAAATTACTTTTTTATTTTATTTTATTTTACTTAACTGTGTTCATTTGCTAGAGCACTCCGTATAGGAGTGCTAGAGCACAGGGCCTGCCTGGCTTATGGATCTAATCACCTCCGAAGCAGTCTCTGATGCATCATAAAACGTTGAAGCTTTTTCGGCAATCTCGCTCTCTTACATTATTAGATTTTCTTTTAAGTTCCATAGTGAAAAAGAAACTGTTATTGGGCCAAATCCCATTGTTAAGCCCATTAACACTTGCACAAATCAGCTTTCTTCTTTCCAACGGCTCTCAGCAACACTTGCATTTTTTTTGTCGGCCAACCTTTCATTAATATAAGAAACTTAGTACTGCATACAACTTAGTACTCCCAAGAGATAGTAAAAGGAAGATTTTGGTTTCTAACTGATTTAGCTAGAAGATCAGCTGCACTGTTATCATTTCTACAAATAAACTTGAAGTCAAAAGAGTTCAGAGATAAAGCTGTAATGTCATCCAGATATGATTGGATTTCCAAGCAGCCAGGAACAGAATGTGGCATCTTCTTTATCTTTTCCATATGGCGATAGAGGAGCATTGAGTCACCACAGAAGGTAACATCCACGTAATTAAGACGTCTGAGATGAAAAAGTGCTTCTTTAAGAGCCAAGGCCTCGGCTTCCAGAGCAGTAGTAACTGGAGCAACAGAGGAGAATCCTTTAAGAACACGACGACCCTGTGGGTTATATAGAATCCACCCAATACCTGCCCGTGACTGTGAATCAAGGCAGGAAGCATCTACACAACAAACAAAGGAAGAGGTATGGTGCATTATTTCTTGGAGAGTAGTAGTCTTTGACTTTCCATGTTTCAGGAGAGATATATTAGGAGTAGCCTGGGAATCTATCCATAATTTAAAATCCATCATGGCATTATGAATAATCTCAGGGATAGCCCATCTTTTGTTGTTAAAAAATAACTCATTTAGAGCTTTCCATAATCTCCAGCCAATAAATGGAAAAAGGTACTCCTTAGACATAGTTTGGTTACTAAACGTGAAGAGATATTGCATTATATCTTCAAGCAAATCTCTACTCTCCAACTGACCTGGCTCAATATGTAGTGGTGACAATTCCCACACTGCTTTTGCAAAACGGCATTGAAAGAGAAGGTGGAGGATTGATTCTTGTGCATCACCACAAAAAATACAATCTGGTATGACTTTGAGTCTCCTGCGAGCAAGGTTATTAGCTACTGGAAGAGCATTATGCATAACTCTCCACCAAAAATTAAAAAATTTTTGGTGGGATATTTAATTTCCAAAGCTGTTTCCACAGAGCAGTCATTGTAGGATTAGGAAAGAAATGCTCTGTACCTGGCTTAGTTAATTGATGATAACCAGATTTAACACTGTACTGGCCATCCTTAGTAAAGATCCAGGTTGGAGCATCAGGTGCTTTGAATAGCCTTAAGCGAGTACTCTTAATAAGTGGGATATCTTCAGGGTGCACTTGATCATGAAGCTTGGTATCATCCCATTCATTTAAAGTAGACTTCATGAGATCTGAAACTAGTAAAAGATCAGTGGTAGAAGAAGGTAAACGACGAGCAGGTCTAGGAGGATTACTAAGCCATGGATCATGCCAGGCTTTAATCGTATTTCCATCTCCTACACTCTATTTTAAACCCTGCTTAATAAGCTACATACCCTGCAAAATGCTTCTCCATGCATGGCTTGGACGATATCCAGGCTTTGCCTCCATTAAAGAGGATTTGGAGAAGTACTTAGCTCTTAGGACTCGGGCAAGCAGTGATTGTGGTTCCTTTAACAGCCTCCAACCTTGTTTAGCCAACAACGCTATGTTGAAGAGGTTTAAGTCCCTGAACCCCATTCCCCCATACTGCTTCAAAGTAGTCATTTTGCGCCAAACAATCCATGGAATCTTTTGCTTTTCCTTGATAGTGGACCACTAGAATCGCCTTATATGCCCTGTAATTTGAGAGAGGAGCTTCTTAGGCAGCATAAAACAGGACATAGTATATGTTGGGAGAGCAGTAGCTATAGATTTTATCAACACTTCTTTCCCAGCCAATGATAAAAAATTTGAATATACCAACTTTGAAGCTTTTGCTGAACTCTATGAGCAATGAAACCAAAAGTATCACATTTATTCTGTCCTATTGTCTCAGGCAACCCCAAGTACTTGCCAAAACTTCCTGTTTTTGAGATACCTGTAGCAGTGGTAATGTGTTGCTGAGTTTCAAGAGTGACAGTCTTCCCAAACAGTATTGCAGACTTTTGAAAGTTGACATATTGACCTGAAGCTTTCGCGTAAGCATTGAGTATGGAAAGAAGTTGTTGGCATTCCTCAGCATTACCTTGACAGAAAAGTAATGAGTCATCAGCAAAAAGCATATGAGAAATGGCTGGTCCATTACAACTAGCTTTGAAACCATGAATAGCATTTGTGTTCATTGCATGAGTAAGAAGGCAAGAGAGTCCTTCAGTGCATAAAAGATAGAGGTAAGGGGAAATAGGGTCACCTTGGCGCAAACCTCTAGATGGTATGATCTTCTTTGTTGGTGAACCATTAACAAGCACTGAATATGTTACTGAAGTGACACACTTCATTATCCATTGACACCACTGATCTGCAAAACCAAGTCGTCTCAATATTTTCTCAATATAATCCCACTCAACTTTATCAAAAGCCTTTGCAATATCAAGCTTCAAAGCCATAAAAGGGTTTTTAATTTTCTTGGTACGCAACGAATGCAGGAGCTCATGAGTAATGACAATGTTATCAGTTATAAGCCGACCAGGGATAAAAGCAGACTGGGATTCTGAAATAATATAGTGAAGCCATGGCTTAAGTCTGTCTGCTAAAATCTTTGAGATGAGCTTGTATGCAATGTTGCATAAACTAATCGGCCTGAAATCTTTCACTTGGGTAGGGGAATCAATTTTTGGAACAAGGCATATGTAGGTATGGTTCATTTCAGGATTCAAGTACCCAGTTTGAAAGAAAAGTTTAACATAATTGATCAAACCTGACTTTATGGTTTCCCAATGGTACTTGAAAAACCCCGCTGTGAGTCCATCAGGGCATGGCGCCTTATCAACATTCATCTGAGAAAGAGCATGAAAGATTTCTTCCTCCATAACAGGAGCAGTGAGCTTCTGGTTCATAACTGCAGTGACTCTGGGCTGGATATGTTGGAGAACTAGGTCGAGATTTTCATTGCCAGAAGAGGAATAGAGGTTAGTAAAGTATGATCGTATAATGTTCTGAATATCTTTATCAGACTGCTGAACATTGCCATCATCATCCTCGAGGGCAGTGATACGATTATAACTTCTTCGTTGCTTAGTTTTGGCATGAAAATACTTGGTGTTTTTATCACCAGCCTGCATCCACAATACTCTGCTTTTGGTTCTCCAATATTCTTCCTCCGATTTGTACTCCTGCTGTAATTTTTGTTTTAAGCTAGTAATGTAATTAAAATCAAGAGAATGAGAGTTATACGCTTTCTGAAGTGCTTCATGAAGCCGCTGGATCTTCTGGTGACACTTATTGATGTGTTCTGACTTCCAAGAAGAAATACTATGCATGCACTTCTTAAGAGCTTCTTGAAATTCTTGCGGAGGCAACATTTTGCATTTTTGATCCCAAGTGTTTTGGAGAGTCAGCTGCAATTCTCTATTATTTCTCCAGCGGTTGTCATAACGAAATAATTTCATACCTCTCCATTTGTTGTCATCTGTAAGCAGCAGCAACGGTTTATGGTCAGAACCAACCCAGTCTAGAAGCTGGACTCGAGCTTTAGGGAATTTATCCTTCCATTCTGCAGTGGCCACCACTCTATCAAGTTTGGATTGAATAGTACCAACACTACGATTCCCAATCCAAGTGAATATGCCTCCAAACGTTTTTAGCTCATGAAGCCCAGAGACATTTAGCATCCTTCTGAAGTTTAGGAATTGCCATTCTGGCCTAGGTGGTACTCCAAGATTCTCCTGGTTGTTTTTTATCTCGTTAAAATCACCGAGAAAAACTCTAGGCTTGCTTTGGTAAAGACCTCCTCTAACTAGATTTTCCATCTTCTGCCACATGTATTGTCTTGGCTTTCTCTCAGGATTACCATACACATAGGTAAGACAAAAGGTAGATTGGCCTTTAGTAATGTACATATCTGTATAATTGAGTAGGAGAGGAGAGAATATCACACTGCACTGTACTCCGCCAAAAGATAGCTAATCCTCCACTTAGACCATCAGGAGAGACCAAAATTTGATGATCAAAATGGAGATCCATACCTAGTTTCTGTACATAGTGATCCTTATTTTTCGTCTCCACGAGGAACATGATATCAATCTTATGTCGACGATTGATATCCTTAAGATATGGAATTGTCAAGGGGTTCCTCAACCCTTGGCAATTCCAATGCAAAATTCTCATTCTGGAGATGGTGGTTTCGGGGTTTCCACCTCCCCTTGAGTTCTCTTGTTAGAAGTCGAAGCCTGTTCTGCATCAGCTGAGTCATTAACCTTTCTCTTGGTTCCTTTGTTCTGTCCAGACACTGAACCTGCACCCATTTCCTGAACCTCAAAAGTAGCGTTAACTGTATCTTGGACTTCTCTTGGATGAGTAAACTCCATATCTTCTCCTTGAGAAGCATTCTGATCTTGATTATCTGACACCTCCATATTCAGATTGGACCCTACTGTTTCTCCCATTGTATCATCAACACCTTCAGTAGGGGTATTGTGGATGTCGGATTCGCACACTTGAATATTTGTTTATTTAGTGGGAATGATTACTCTTGAGGACAAAAATATGATAAGAAAAAGCTATGAATTGTAATGGGAATAACTATAGTGTATTAGCTCGAAAAATTGCGTATCCTTTACATGGCTATTAGCCCTCTTATTTATATTGACAAACGACATTTAACTCTCAATTAAACACAATTATTCTCTCTTAAATGTGTCCGTTTTGGTCTTCGAGTTTAATGCTCAACGTTTGAATTTGAATTGATTCCGATCTTCATGGGCTTCGCCTTTTGGCCCAAATTACTTTGAACCATCCTGACTTTGATTCCGAGTCATATCCCGAAATGGGACCACTTCGAGTTCCCTTCGTGATGATGCCCACTTCGACTATATCCTGTACACCTTGGGTTTTAATGGGCCTTATTCTTTGCGGGCCTTCATCCTGACTACGTGGCGATCTTTGGTTGGTCCCGGTCTACTGGTGCGGGATCCGACACCAACAATTAGCCCCCCAAGTCTTTCGAAGTGCTTATTCCAATTCGGAAGGCTTAATCGTCTTAATGACCAAAGATTGCGCTCGTGGGATCTTCTGGTTTTCCCGCCAAGATTTTGTCAATCCTTTAATTTCGGTATTACCCATATTTGATCGCGTGACATCTGTCACCATCAAGACCGTATCTTAATTATTTACTATTAAAACGGGGAAAACCTTTCCACTTCCCCACGACTCCCGAGGCGGTTCCATCATTTCCACTTAGTTTGCGTGAGGTAACCTTCTTTTTACTTCTATCTTTTGGTAAAAAATTTTCTTTGCTTTTTCTCTTTTCCTGCCAAGTCTCTCTCTGTCTCTTTCGCCAAACTTTCTCTTCTGGAACTTGAGTTTTCCCATTTTCTTCGATGTCTTCCGATTCCGACAGACCTGAGTCTCCGTCTTACGACGGGAAACGTTCTAGCCTTGACGATTGTACCCGTCCTAACGATATCGCCGGTCCTCACTACAGATCTACTTGTACCATTCAATCCCTTCAACGATTGAAAGAACTCTGCCGACTTCCACCTGACGTGATGGCGGGATCGAAGTTGGCCGATCCTACGGAGTCCCCGGAGGATCACCGTGATGGTTACTTTTGCGTTTATGAAATCTACTTCAAGGGCTGTGGATTGACCTTCCCTCTTCCCGAAGCCCTAGTCCGGTATCTGGCGGCCCTTGAAATTGCTTTGCCTCAGCTAACCCCCAACCTCCTCCGAACCATCCTTGGAATCATAACCGTTGCGGCGGAAGCTGGCTACATTATTGGGGTTCCCGAGCTGAATGAACTTCTAAGTGTGAGAAGTTCGTCAAAGAAGGCAGGGTACTTTTCGGCGTACCCGAACGCTAATAGGAACATCATCTCGCATCTCCCGAACAAGGATGAGAACTGGCACCATCCTTGGTTTCTGATTAAGAAAACTCCTGCTTCGATTGGAAGTCTTTCCGATGTGCTTCCATCGAAGTGGTCTGCAAAGCCTGGTAGAAAATAGGTTACAGACATTTTCTCAATCACCCTATTATTTTGCTAACCAAATTTGTTGTTTCATTTTTGCAGCCTTCATTGCTCCAATTCTCCCAACTGAGGAATTCGTCAACTTCTTCAAGACAATCCTTAGAGGGGAAACCCTTTGGAATTCCTTTACTCTCGATCGGTTCATTGAAGCCAATCGAAAACTCAGGATGAGTCCGCCCAATCACCTTCATCGTCTTCCGCCTCCTCCTTCAACTCAGGGATTGTCAGCTCGGGCCCTCACTGCCCAGCGTAAGAAGCTCTCCAAGCCGATAGCAGAGGCTTGTGATGAAAATAAGGCGTTCCTTGCGGCCGCCATTGACAAGAAGGACTACAGCAGGACCTTACTAGTTGACGACAATAGCACCGAGGGGACCAGATCTGTCGTTGCTTATAGATTAACACCTCGTCGTGAACGTCGTAATGATCGTTCTCCTCGGAGAGATCGATCTCCTCGTCGTGACTCTCCTCGACCTCCCCGAGATGACTTTAGCAGCGCACCGCTTAAAGATTTGATTCGTAAGAAAAGAGACAAGTCATCTCGCAGCGATTCCTCTCCGCATAGGGAGAAATCGAGGGCCCGGACTGACCGTTCACCTCGATCGTCTCCTCCATCTAAAACAATGGGTCCTCCTGCTCCGGTTGACATGTCTTCTCTTCCCGAACATGATGGCGAGAAGACCACTCGGAGCGTATCTCCTCAGAAGGAAGGTTCTGGATCTCAAGATGCTTCTCCGAAGTCAAAACCTGCTCTTGTCCCCCAAATCAAATCGCTTACAGGTAACGATTTACGCATTCTTAAGGGTTTTCACTTCATCTTGATTCAAAATATTACAATTCCCCTTCTTCTTCCTTCACAGCTATGGAGAAAGAAGGTAGCGTTTTTCGATGCTTTAAGACCCGGTCGGGTCTAATCCTGCCGGAATTCGACAAGTGGCGTCCGGCAATTCGCGAACGCTATTTGCTTCATGCGCATCACTCATCTCGGGTTAGTTTTACTTCATTCTTTTTTATGTTAGCCTTCCAACTGGTTCATCATCTCGAGTTTATACAAAATGCCAGGCGAACAGCGAACTCAACGACATGGTCGAACACTATGAAGGATTGTTACTCAGCCAGCAACAGGAGATTGACTTATGGAGAGGCAAGTTTACTACTCTTGAGTCCGACCTTCACTCATCTTCGGGCTCTAAGCAACAACTGGAAGATCAAGTAGTTGGCCTCAAATCTGAGCTTGAGAAGATAAAGGGGGATCTGAAGGACCAGTACGACCAGAACTACCAATTACAGAACGAGCTTTCTGGTGTTCAGGGTAGACTTCATGAATCCGAACCGATACCCTAAATAACCAACTTATTGAACTTCACGCGAAGTACAACGCGATTACCAAGTTGCGTGATTCCGAGTTGGCAAGGTCGGCTTCGAAGGCCAGAAAAGAGGTAAAGGGACGAGGGATGGAGTTGATTCAAGGGGCCATCCGTTTTATTCAAACTGAGAAGGTTAAGTCGGATCTGGAGTCGGACATCAAAGAGCACGAGAGCAACCTAATCTTGCTGGATCAAATCCACGAAGACGATTTCTCCGAAGTGAAAGAGAGATCCGAGCTGTCGTCTAACTTATCCGAAAAGAAAAATCGTCTGGCAGCTCTTCCCGCTTCGTCCTTCAACCCTCAGGATTTCGCGGAGTTTTTCACTGAATCTCCTTCCCTAAGTGAATCAGGGTTAGACTGGGCAGGTAATCGCTAGTTCTTGATGCTTACTTCCTTCTTCTTACCTTTTGTTTGACCCGAACTGTCTTTTATAGGTTCAAGTGAGACGGAGGGCGTCGTCTCATCCGAAGTCCCTACTGCACCGAAGGTCATCCTAGGAGATGTTTGTACCGCAGTGAATGAACAAGGAACTTCCTCTGAACAAGTCCCGGCCAAGGAGGCGGATGGAAACCCGACAACCGAAATGGAGGCCGAAGTGTCTATTGTACCCGTAGTGGCTGCGTCCACTCCGAATTGGGGCTTGTCCCATTATTATATATTTTTTGAGACTTAAATCTTTATGTTTTTGCTTTTGCCCTAGGAAGCTTTATTATCAGTTTCTTTTGAACAAGATATTTGCCTGAGGAGGCTTTTAAACCTTTTTCCCTTAAGGTTATGATCCCGAGGGGGTCTGGTTAAAATTATATGCGGGTTTGCAAAGTCCGCTATTAACACTTCTTGGCCTTGTGGCTATGTCATTTGAGAATTTTAGGCTGATCAGGCCCTTGTCTTGGAATGCGAGATCTGGGCTCGGCTTAACGCGAGTTCCCCACTTCGGGTTTAGTCAACTCGGTGAATTCGTTGGGCTTGGGCCTTAAAAACTTTTATGCTTAATGGGCCTCTTGCCTTAAATGCGACGGTTGCTCTTTCCCTTCCTTGGAAATAGGGAAAGTCGCACGCCTTTAAGGCAATAACTGCCTTTCTCTATTTCCAAAAACAGTTTAAACCACTCGGGCACACTATCATCATTAAATTACGGTTTCAAGATAAACCCTAGACCTATTATAAATAGAGGCAAGTTTGCCTCTAAATTTTTCCAAGGAACTCCAAAATTCTCTCGATAATTTTTATAACAATGGAAAACGAAACTGTGGTCCCCACCGATCCTGGCAGTCCTCTGTTCTTGTCCGGCGATGGCTTCGAACCGGCCGGCGTTCTCTTTCCTCATGCTGTGTTCCACTTCCCTTCGAGGGAAAAGAAAGAGGCTTACGACTTCATGGACAAGGTCAAAATTCGACTCTCTTGACCAAAACCTTATGCCTTTCACTTTAATTTATTCTTTTTGGTGACAGGTTGTCGACAAACATCGCCGTTTGTGCGACGAGAGGCAGCGGCTGGGACTCAAGAGGCAAACGCTCGAGGCTCGTATTGCTCGAGTGGAGAGGAAAGTGAGGGCCTTGGAAAGTGACCCCTTTCAATGGGAGTGGAGGAACTTCGACTCTATCGCGGAGATCCCGAGAATGCTCCGGATGTACCTTCGTGCTAAAGGTCAAGTTCAGGGACCACTGAATGCCCCTACCGAAGTTGCTCCTATTGACAGCGAAGAGGAAGACGAGGAAAATGACGACAATCCTTGGAAACGTGTCCGGAATGAACCCGAAGTCAATTCCAAAAACAAGGCGTCCACTTCGAACATTAAACCGGCGATGAAGGAGCCTGTTCCTGAGCCCCTTCCATAAATGTTCCTTAACTCTATTCTCTTTTCTTTCTTTTTGAACTCGTAATGGGCCTCGGCCCCTTTTATTTATGGAAACACTTTAATTCTCATATCATTCTTGGAGATACGTCTTTTAATGCAGGATCGGGTTGAGAGCATAAATCTCTCCGCGAATCACTCTATTCCTAGGATAGAGTCCGCAGCTTAACAGGGATATGACGTTCCTATAAATTGTAGTCTCAATTTCCCTTTACTCCTC